CCCAGTAACGCAGGAGGAGGGGCACAGAGACTCCGTGTGTGCTGCTCAGAGGGAAACGCGGGGGAGTGAGCGGGGCCGAGTGTGTGGTGGGGGCCGTGGGACAGCCGGGCCCTGGGCGCAGGGCTGAAGCCCACAGCTCAGCCTGCGGAGAGGAGACTGCGGGAGAGGGCCGGCGTCAATCCCGGGAGAGCAGAGGGCAGGCGTCATCCCGGCACTCTCAGACTCGCCTCGCAGGACTGGACGGCGCCTCTGTAGCCTCTGCCGCCCCAGGCTTCTCCTGCGTTCTCTTGGGGATAAAACTGGGGTCTTTCCCATCACCACTTCCTCCAGTCCCTCCGCCAGGATTTGCCTGCTGCACCCTTGCCCAGGCAGGGCCTGATCCACACGAAACCGGAGGTGAAGGGTCAGAGAATTCCTCCAGGTCGCTGACGCCCCCATCTGGGCAGCACTGGCGCTGGCGCTCGGGGCCCAGCCACTGCGGAGCCCGGGAAAGCGCTGAGGCCCTGTGGGAGGAGGGGTCCATCGGCCCCGCCCCGGATACATCCGGGCTTCTTTCTTCATAACCCTGCCTGCTTCTTCTCTGCCTCCCTTTTGTTTTTTTTTTTTTTTTTTAACATTTTATTTATTTATTGAGGGGGTAGAGTTACAAACAGAATTAGAGACAGAGAGAAAGGTCTTCCATCCACTGGTTCACTCCCCAGATGGCCGCAATGGCCAGAGCCGAGCATTTGGAAGCCAGGAGCTTCTTCCAGGTCTCCCACAAGAGTACAGAGGCCCAAGCACTTAGGCCATCTTCTAATGCTTTCCCAGGCCATAGCAGAGAGCTGGATGGGAAGTGGAGGAGCCAGGACTTGAACTGGCGCCCATATGAGAGCTGGCACTGTTGCTTCCTTCCTTTATGCTGCGGGTGGGGGGGGGTAGAGAAAGACCTGGTGCTCTGGCAGCTTGCTGAGGGTTAGGACTTGGACAAAGGGAAACTGTTCTTTTTTTTTCTTTCTTTTGACAATCTGTGGCTAACCATTGACTGTTACTATTTTAACTATTGTTGGTGTTAAGTTCGGTGGTATTAAGTACATTCCCGCCGTTGTGCAACCATCAACAGCACTGTCTCATCTTCCCAAACGGAAGCTCCACACCCATTAAACACAGACTCCCGATTCCTCCTCTCCGCCCCGGGCTCCTGACAACGCCCACTCTACTTTCTGTCTCTATAAACTTAGCCGCTCCCGATACTGCAGATAAGCGGGATCAGACAATGCATGTCCTCTTGTGTCTGGCTTTTTGCATGGCGCATCAAGAGCCCAGAATTCATGTTGTCGCATGGGGCAGGATTTCCTTCCTTTTGAAGGTTGAATAGTATTCCATTGTTCGTATGTGGTACATCGTGTTCCTGCGTTCATCTGTTGATGTATACCTGGAAGGCTTCCACCTGTTGGCTGTTGTGAATGAGGCTGCTGCAGACATAGGCTTTCCATGTCTGTTGTAGTCTCAGTGTCCAGTTCTTGTGAGGATTCCCCGAAGCTGAGTTGCTATGTCATGCAGTACATCTATGCTTAATTTTTTTTAAGATTTATTTATTTTTATTTATTTGATAGAATTACAGAGAGAGGTAGAGACAGAGAGAGAGGTCTTCCATCCGCTGGTTCACTCCCTACATGACCACCACGGCCAGAGCTGCACCCATCCGAAACCAGGAGCCAGGAGCTTCTTCCAGATCTCCCACGCGGGTGCAGGGGCCCAAGCACTTGGGTCATCTTCTACTGCTTTCCCAGGCCATAGCAGAGAGTTAGATCAGAAGAGGAGCAGCTGGGTCTCGAACCAGCGTCCATATGGGATGCCAGCACTTCAGGCCAGGGCTTTAACCACTACGCCACAGCGCTGGCCCCTATGCTTAATTTTTTCTTTTTCTTTTTTTTTTTGAGGAGCTACCATCCTCTTTTCCACAACATCTGCACCATTCTGTTTCCTCCCCAGCAATGCACAAAGTTTCTGGGTCTCCACGCCTTTGCCAACACTTGTTATTTTTAGGGGTTGTTGGGTGTGGAGTGGTATCTCCTTGTGGTTTTCATTTGCATCTCCCTAAGGACTAGTGATGTTGAGTATCTTAGTATGCTTCTTGTGCACTTGTGTATCTTGGGAAAGCATACACTCAAGTCCTTGCCCATTTTATAACTGGATTGTTTTGTTGTTTATTGTTATTGTTTACATCATGACCCACCTCAGGGCAGGAGTACTTTAGGTAAGCACATTTACAGTTCCCAGCCTACTGGGTAAAAGCAAATGTAAGTTCCAAGTTAGGTATGCAGGAAAGAACGGACCTTGCAGACTGGAAGAGAGAACTGATTTCTTTTTTAAAAAGATTTATTTATTATTTACTTGAGAGGCAGAGTTACAGACAGAAAGAGAGAGAGAGAGAGAGAGAGAGAGAGAGAGATGTCTTCCATCTGCTGGTTCACTCCCCAATTGGCTGCAATGGCTGGAGCTGCGCTGATCCAAAGCCAGGAGCCAGGAGCTTCCTCTGGGTCTCCCAAGCAGGTGCAGGGGCCCAAGGATTTGGGCCATCTTCTACTGCTTTCCCAGGCCACAGCAGAGAGCTGGATCAGAAGAGGAGCAGCTGGGACTCGAACTGACACCCATATGTGATGCCAGTGCTGCAGGCAGAGGCTTTACCGGCAACGCCACAGCACCGGCACTGAAAACTGATTTTTTGAAGGATAGAAATCTAAGAGGGTCAGCCCTTCACTCCCACCTGCACTTTTCCTGAGCCAGGTATCCTCGGGAGCGTTCAGAGTGGGTGCTGCATTAGGTCTTCCCTGGGCCATTGGTGCCTCTGAATTCATGGGCTCCTACCTCCATTAAAAAGAAAAAAAGAGTCATATTTTACAACTGCATTTGTATAAGGAAGAGTATGATAGGGCTGGTCTGTGGCATAGCAGGTAAAACTGCCACTTGCAATGCTGGCATCCCATATGGGCACCAGTTCGAGTCCCAGCTGCTCCACTTCTGATCCAGCTCTCTGTTATGGCCTGGGAAAGCAGTGGAAGATGACCCAAGTCCTTGGGCCCCTGCACCCGCGTTGGAGACCCGGAAGAAGCTCCTGGCTCCTGGCTTTGGATCGGCTCAGCTCCAGCTGCTGAGGCCATTGAGGGAGTGAACCAGCAGATGGAAGACCTCTCTCTCTCTCTCTCTCTCTCTCTCTCTCTCTCTCTGCCTCTCTGCAACTCTGCCTTTCAAATAAATAAATAAATCTTTTAAAAATATGATAGCATTGCTATAATCTAATTACGTAGATTTTTATAATTCACATGGAATTGACCTAACAGTTGTGCTATTTCTTTGACCTCAAAGCTCATTTTGTTTTCCTTCTGATTCTAAAATAAATGAAAATCTTACAAATCTTTCGAATATTTGAAAGTCCCCGTGGCCCCCGCAATGTC